ATCTCCAGTACAAGTGGTGTAGCTATCATCGTACATGAAGTTTCGTCGTGTCCACTGCTCTTCCGAAACGGCTGAGGAAAATAAAGCAATGTATCAGTAAATACAAAATATGCAAATGAATGCTTGTAGGAGCACTCCTGGTGTCACTGCCAATGTTACCTAAACTACTAATTCAACCTCCTTTTTGTTGAATAAAAATCAAACTTGCATTTTCGGGTTGAACGCAAAAGTGGCATGTGTACTTAAACAATGAATCATGTAACCCATTCAAATTCCAATGAAATCTTGCACACAAGTCAAGAAATGTCGACAGCTACTCTACTCAGTCCACAAGTTGTGCATTAGTTCACGTAAATGTCATGTATCTATCATTTTGTGAATTTTACCTTCATCGTCATCATTGCCCTCTTCCTTTTCATCATCATTATTATTATTGCCAGCAATTTCTTTAACGCATGTACAATTTCTGCCGATTATTCGAAGTCCTTGTTCACGACACTGAGGGCAGCAAACCTGAAGTCCATTAACACTTCCAACGTAATCGGGATTGCAACCACCGCACACTGATCCCGTCCAGCACATCTCGTACTCAGGTTCTAATATGAAAATAAAAATATTTTTGTAACACTCAATCCAGTGTATTATTTATTATAATTATTATAGTTGAACGCCATTACTATGAAATCCACGGTACGCTCAGCATCATATAGATGGGTATTGTGTGCCTTCTCGTCAGAATAAATTAATAAACATTCGCTGCGACAAAGATAATTTGTATCAGTGTTCACAACAACGTGTCTTCAGGTTTGTTTCAACATGCCTCAAATTTCTTTTTTCATGCAGATTATTCAGAAAAAAAACTTTTGCCTTTTGTGACTATGGTAAACATCTGCATCTTCGGTCATTTTAGCTAATAGCAACAGTGCATTCGACCATTTGACGACAAGGTACAATAGAATTTAACTCATTGTTTTCTCATGCTTGTAGCGCCATGCCAGTCTTTCAGTCATAACAAAACCAGCCTTACATTAGTTCGAATTCTATTTTAACAGTAGATTTTAATTTCGTTGCGGTAACCTTTTTACTTGTTTGTCTTTGTAGTTTATCGTGAATAAGAACGGCAACTCAAACACATTTTGTTGGTTACTTCAATATTTCAAAAATTCAAGATATGTTGAATAGCTCAGACCAATTGACAATATGACTGCCTAAGTTCGACTTAAACAATTGAGTTGCACTTTCGCAATGCAATTTTAATCTACCTGGGGGAATCCCGGTACGGGTTTGGCACACACGTGACCACATCCATTGGAACAGCATTTGTTATCCCCGGGACAGTCAGCATCCCCAGAGCATTCTTCTTGGCAAGTGCCTATGCCCGTAATGGCAGGACATGTACCGGGCTTGAAAGCTTTTAACATAGAAGAAAATTGAACATTGACAGATAAATACCTTGCTGGAAACTGATAGGTTTCAAAAACACATTAAGCGAAATAATTATATAGCAAAGAATCACAGTTGTGTCAATGCATATATACAAGACAGAATGTTATACGTCAAACATAAACAAACAAAAAATAAGATGCCTTCTGATTGGTTGGATTGTTATGTTGCAGGTTTGGATAGCTAATCAGATACAATCTTTTAAGAAGCGTCGCAATGCGGAGGAATCAATCAATGGACTTTGCATCCTCGTTCAAAATTGAATACGTGTACTGATGTACGCAATATTTTAAATTGGCTACAATAGGAGGGGTTTTTCACTAAATATTATAACCCGTAAATGGCAATTAGCAATTAACTTTACCTTCGATTGGTGTTGATCAAATATGACCACAGTGAGTAGAACAACATTTCTCATTGCTTGGACAATCGCTGTCTGTGATGCACTGATCGCCGCAATGTGCCCCACGTAGACCATATGGGAAAAATGGACATGTGCCAGGTTTCTGAACATCATCGCTGATGGATGGGACACAGGCCCTCCCACACCGTGATCCAGCAGAACAGCATTTCTCATGTAAGCGACAGTCGTCGTCAGAATTACACAAGTCACGGCGGCCTGTACACGACCGGAAGATACCCAGGGTAATCACTGGACAACTACCAGCATGCACTGTGAATGTGGAATAATTTACATAATATGAAAAATCATCGTCTGGTTAGCAACATAATATTTTCAGATTACACATGTCCGCGTCGTGGCAACACACAGTAACCGTCTGCAGCAATGCACGGCCTGCGGACGGCATACAGAGGTACGGAGCTGCTTCCAATACTACCTCATCGAGACAGCGGAAGGAATACTGCTCTCTTCGTCCAATGACGACTTTTTCATCGTAACTGCTCCCATCAGTGACGCACGTGTTGTTACGTGAATTACACTCGTCACAATAACAACGCACTATAACAGTTAATAAAAGTACTATTTTTAGAGATTCGTTATATTAATTCTTAGATGGCGAAAGACGACGTCACTAGCAGAGTTGTCTATTTCAACGACTTACTGCATACAGCTATCTAATTTATTTTGTCTTCACGGAAGCATTTCGTCGCGAGAGGAAAGGCGCATTTATTGTATTGACCATCTGTAGAAATTATACCGATAATATCTCGGCTATTGAATAGTTATTTTTTTCGGGGAATATACATGTATTGCACACTGAAGCTTTCACATGTGTTCTCTTATCGATTGTGAGCTCTAGGATAAACGAAGGTTGAATCACAGGTGAAACTAAAAAAACGATCTTTTCCATATATTTTGAAAAAAAAATAGTGCAATTTATAGAAAATAAACCAGTGAGTATACTCACACTGGTTTTGGTTTCCAGGTGATGTATCTCCGCACCGACCTTCCACAAGCGTGACGTCATCAATGGCCATATTGGTGTAAGGCCATCCCGAATGAACTGTTTGAAACACAACCTGCAAGTGAATAGAAGACGCAGGATGGGTGCAAATATTCAGAGGTTGGTCGCATGCCCGAATGACAGTTAACACACGGCATATCGATTCGTAATTACGTAATTTCTGGCCAGAATCTTGTTCATCGAATTTTTCTCACTATTTTGCCAAAAGGATTAAACTCATTTGGATTTTCCGTTGAACAATGAACACAGAAATGTCAAAACATAATGAGAACACTGGAGCAAACGATCGTTGGCAGCGAACAATGGTTATGAAACCAGTTGAGAAGACGTTTCTCGATCCGAGATCTTGCAGTTTGAGAGAATTTCTTTATTTGGCGCAAACTTGAAAAAAAATAATTAAGGCTTTCTGGTTTAATAAATATGAAAAAACATGCAGAGTTATTTTGTAAAACGTTCAATACCTATACATCTATATACCTTACCCTATAAGAACCACTATCCACACCGTTAATGGTTATTTCCTTTGTGTGCCACGCCTGTTCGTTACACCGTGGGCGGGCCCAAATAGGATATCCTAACCCACTGTCGATCATTGTGTATACGTTTAATCGAGATCTATGCTGTCCCTTGCCGTTGGCAGTAATAATGGAACTTCAGTCATTGATTAGCCGATGTGGTTTGATAGCTTGGTGAGATTAGTCTCGCTTTATCACTTTCACCTTCAGCTGGAGAGTATGGCCTTCCAGGGATTGAGCCAGCGACAGCACTTGCCCTCATGTAAAAACCTGCCATTAATGTAAATGATGCAGGAAGTTTAGCAGGAAATAGGTCACGTGGGCATAAATCAAGCTTAAAACAGCAGTATATCACAGCCGCATTCACTACAACCTTTAGATAGGTCGTACAAGCAAAATCATCTTCAAATTTATTTTTCTTGTCAATTGAAAATAACTTCTAGTATCTGCAAGCTATTTTCTAGATGAAAAATACAGTATATTTATTATACGTGTCTGCAGCTCCACCCAGACCAAATGCAGTTCAGTGAGCTAAACGCAATGTGGCAATCATTCATTTAAATAAACAATGTATTTTACACGCGTTGTTTGCCCCGTGGGGTAGTTGATACATAGCTGGGTAGAAAGGTGCCCCGAGTGCTCAAAGTATGACCATTTTTATCCCTGGATAGTGGCAAAATCTATACCCATATTTATTACAAAGTACCATATTTGTCATCACAGTTTATTCCAAATAAGTTTCACTGAGAATTGTGCGCCCTCTTCAATTACATGTTAAATCTCCGTTTAAATGTTGATTGCCTTGTTTAATTTCCGGGTTGATGTATATATGGATCTGAGGTTGGGATCTGAGGTGGAAATATTCGCTCATATACGGACCAAATCGGAAAATTATTATCGATATTTATATCTATCTTGACCAGAAATAAGACCGATACTTATACATAAAATCCAAAAAAACAGACCCATTTCAGGGGCACGTCCCAATTAGGCAAGTTATATGTATTGCCCCCCCCCCAGGTTGTAAGGTCGCTATGAGTCCCATAATGAAAGAAAGAGGCGCGACGACCACAACCCTTCAAGATAAGTGAACTTAAAAAATAATATCACTAATACCTACTATGAGGGGGGTATTCTTCTCCTCTAGGGTTCTCCACACGTGTCAGGGGGAATCTCGTCTGGTCGGGAACGGGAACGGGAAAGTCACTTAAGGTAGCAGAATAGTTTTTTGGGCACTTTTCACATTTTTTTTTGAAAATCACACGAATAGCTCCCTAAGGCATGCTACATACATTAGTGTTTTTATTTTATTGAAAAAAAATATCTTGTACAAGTAAACTGATTTTTTTCTTGTGTGCAAACAAATGGCCAAGTTTTTGTTTATCCAGTGTACACCAAACTAGTGCATCTCATTAATATGCATGGTTTACAAACATAACTGAACTGAGGGTAAATAGTTTTAAGTTGGGCCACTTTCTTTACTGTAAAATGACTAATTTTCACTGGGTTTAAATTTCACTGATTTACCATTTCAGGCATATTCAGTGGGTTTTAAATTCACGGTTTCGTCATTTAGATAATGTGTTCTATGCTAAATTTTACATATTCACTGTGTTTTAATTTAGCGCATTTTTCCAGTCAGCGAAATAAGCTAAATTAAAACCCAGTGAATAATTACCCCCTTTACAGTATTTGCTATTTACAAACAACTGATAAGATATATGTTTGTAGTTTACACACAGCTGATAAGACATGTGCACTGCTGCTTTCTAGACAGGAAGTACAGCAAAGACAAAACAATCGCTTTTG